TACCTAGGAATACAACTTCCAAGGGATGTAAAGGACTGCTTCAAGGAGAACTACAAACTACTGCTCAAGGAAATAAGAGAGGACACAAACAAATGGAAAAACATTCCATGCCCATGGATGAAAAGAATCAATATCGTGAAAATGGTCATACTGCCCAAAGTAATTTAGAGATTCAATGCTATCCCCATCAAACTTCCATTGACTTTCTTCACAGAATTAGAAAAAACAACTTTAAATTTCATGTGGAACCAAAAAAGATCCCATATAGCCAAACAATCCTAAGCAAAAAGAACAAAGCTGGAGGCATCATGCTACCTGACTTCAAACTATACTACAAGGTCACAGTAACCAAAACAGCATGGTACTGGTATCAAAACAGATATATAGACCAATGGAACAGAACAGAGGCCTCAGAAATAACACCACACATCTGCAACCATCTGATGTCTTTGACAAACCTGACAAAAATAAGCAATGAGGAAAGTAGTCCTGATTTAATAAATGGTGTTGGGGAAACTGGCTAGCCATATGCAGAAAACTAAAACTGAACCCCTTCCCTACACCTTGTACAGAAATTAACTCAGGATGAATTAAAGACTTAAATATAAGACCTAAAACCATAAAAACCCTAGAAGAAAACCTAGGCAATATCATTCAGGACACAGCATGGGCAAAGTCTTTATGACTAAGACACCAAAAGCAATGGCAACAAAAGTCAAAATTGACAAATGGGACCTAATTAAACTAAAGAGCTTCTGCACAGCAAAAGAAACCATCATCAGAGTGAACAGGCAACCTACAGAAAGGGAGAAAATGTTTGCAATCTATCTATCTGACAAAGGGCTAATATCGAGAATCTACAAAGAACTTAAATTTAAGAGGAAAAAAAAATAACCCCATCAAAAAGTGGGCAAAGGATTTGAAAAAACACTTTTCAAAAGAAGACATTTATGTGACCAACAAACACATGAAAAAAAGCTCATCCTCACTGGTCGTGAGAGAAATGCAAATCAAAACCACAATGAGATACTATCTCATGCCAGTTAGCATGGCAATCATTAAAAAGTTAGGAAACAACAGATGCTGGAGAGAATGTATAGCAATAGGAACACTTTTACACTGTTAGTGGCAGTGTAAATTAGGTCAATCATTGTGGGAGACAGTGTAGCAATTCCTCAAGGATCTAGAACCAGAAATACCATTTGACCCAGCAATCCCATTACTGAGTATATACCCAAAGGATTATAAATCATTCTACTATAAAGACAAATGTACACGTATATTTATTGCATAAACCCATGTATATGGGTATATATCCAAAGAGTTATAAATCGTTCTACTATAAAGACACATGCACACATATGTTTATTGCAGCACTGTTTGCAATAGCAAAAACTTGGAACCAACCCAAATTCCCATCAATGATAGACTGGATAAGGAAATTGTGGCACATATACACCACAGAATACTATGCAGACATAAGAAAGGATGAGTTAATGTCCTTTGCAAGGACATGGATGAAGCTGGAAACCATCATTCTTAGCAAACTGACACAAGAACAGAAAACCAAACATCACATGTTCTCACTCATAAGTGGGAGTTGAACAATGAGAACATGTGGACACAGGGAGGGGAACATCACACACTGGGGCCTGTTGGAGGGGGGGAGCTAGGGGAGGGATAGCATTGGGAGAAATACTTAATGTAGATGATGGATTGATGGGTGCAGCAAACCACCATGGCACGTGTATACCTATGTAACAAACCTGCACGTTCTGTACACATATCTCAGAACTTAAAGTATAATCATTTTAAAATATTTTAAAAAGAAATAAAAGGGGGTTGGGGCAAGAAATAAAGAAAAGAAAGGCAATTTGAAGGACAGAATGTATAGTGTCATCTCATTTGTGGGAACAATTTTTAAAAGAACAATGCATGTAAATTATAGGACACTTCTCGAAGGATACACAAAGCCAAGAGCTGTATGGGAAGAAGGTAAAAGCAGCATAGGGAAGAGTTACTTTTCACTTTTCACATAACTTTTTGTCTCTTTTTAAAATCATGAGCAGGTGTTATTTTTATAATTCAATGAATATATGTGTTGATTTGAAAAACACACTGATCCTGAAAGTTAAAATTCCAATTCAGAGAAAATTGATTTCTATGAAAACTATCAATCTGCCAGCAATGCCAGAAAAATGAAGTGTAGCTGTACAACACAGACAGTGGGTGAGGTTGTCATCACTTGCTCTGATTGCACATATGGAATTTAAAACACCCATTTCACCAGATTAAAAATATTCAATAAGATTTATAAAAAGCACTTAACACTTGCCAGCACTTAGTAAGTGCTCAATAAATAGTTACTGTTAACACTTTTAGTATTACTTTCTCTGCCTGGCAGTTGTCCTAACCCCACTCCAGCCCTCCCACATTCCCTAATCCTGACTCGTGTCAGTGATGCATGACTCAACAGTCAAAGTAAGACAGCTATTGCAAAATGCAAGACTTAAATTCCACCCCAGGTGAATTCTCTTCTGGACCACAGGCAGCCCTTGAAAAGGATGGGAGTAGAGCCCTCAATCATGGAAGCATTTTTTTCCTCAAGATAGGCAGATGTTGCCGGGCGCGGTGGCTCACGCCTGTAATCCCAGCACTTTGGGAGGCCGAGGCGGGTGGATCACGAGGTCAAGAGATCAAGACCATCCTGGTCAACATGGTGAAACCCCGTCTCTACTAAAACTACAAAAAATCAGCTGGGCCTGGTGGCGCGTGCCTGTAATCCCAGCTACTCAGGAGGCTGAGGCAGGAGAATTGCCTGAACCCAGGAGGCGGAGGTTGCGGTGAGCCGAGATCGTGCCATTGCACTCCAGCCTGGGTAACAAGAGCGAAACTCCATCTCAAAAAAAAAAAAAGATAGGCAGATGTTACCACCTCCATACAAGAACAATCCCATTGCCTATTACAGTTCCCATTTCAAAGAGATGCTCCCACATAAGTATGTATTTCGCCAAAAGATTTCCTGTTGTTGTTGTTTTTGTTTGTTTGTTTGTTTTTTGAGATGGAGTCTCTGGTTCCGTTGCCCAGGCTGGAGTGCAGTGGTGCAATCTTGGCTCACTACAACCTCTGCTTTCTGGGTTCAAGCAATTCTCCTGCCTCAGCCTCCTGAGTAGCTGGGATTGCAGGAACGCACCACCAGGCCCAGCTAATTTTTGTATTTTTAGTAGAGTCAGGGTTTCACCATGTTGGCCAGGCTGGTCTCAAACTCCTGACCTCAAGTGATCCGCCCACCTCAGCCTCCTAAAGTGCTGGGATTACAGGCATGAGCCACTGCGCCTGGCCCAAGATTTCCTGTTCTTATCTCCAGTAAGCCAGCTTGATGAGGAATAGTGCTAGAGATTCCCATACTTCTTGACTGCCTTCTATCCTTTTCTACTCACAGGCCCCCTCCCTAAGCTCCCCTGTGCTCTCTGCAAAAGAAATAGTGCTGGAGGCCAAATAGCAACCCTGCCCATGCAAGAAAGGGCCATGTGATGTTCACCAAGCTCCTAAGCCAGAATTCTCTTTTCCCAGAATCCTTTGGCTGTCTGGCTGTCTACCTCTAAAAAGAAGGTGAAAAGAGAGTCAAACGAGCCCTGGGAAGGGTTCCCACAGCGCATTAGCTCCGAACAGTGCAAGAGGACAAGGAGTGTAGCGCTCTCCAGCCTCTGTCAATAATTCATGAGGCTCAGACTGAGGGTCACCAGTCAGAGTCAGTTTTCCCTGGACATGGGAAAAATAATACTTAAGCTCCCTTATCTCATTCGGTTGTGCTGAGTACCAAAGCTGAGTACTGCAGCTGTAACTTCTTGGCTGAGGAAGATACTATAAATCCAGTGCAGGCCTGTTCTATTACTTGCTAGCCATTCACCCACTTTTGATTGCTGAAATCCTTTTTCAACTGCTCAGCTGACCTACACATATACTAAATGAATCTTGAACGAGCATGAATTCTATTAAAAAGTGGCCCCTGAACTGAATTTCACAAACCAGGATTCTTTCCCCTCTAATTGTAGGGACTGGCATAAGTCTGCCAAACTGGTGATTTCACCAACACATTTCTAAACCTACCCATCTGATTTCATCATCTTTTCTGAAAAAAAAAAAAAAAAAAAAAAAAAAAAAAAAAAAAAAAAAAAACGGAAAAGGAAGCAAACATATACTCCACAATAAAGGGCTATTAAATACGCTTAGCTTTACGAAACTCACTGTAATGTCTTTTCTCATTTTGCCTTGAACTAGTGAAAACGTTGCCATGGACCAGCACTGCTTCTCAGTCTGACATTTGGAGGCCAGTGGGTTAAGCCAATTCAGATGCTTGCAGTTGGGTCTGTTGGGGCCATTCTGCGGTGTACCATAAGCCATCCAGATTTATTCATTCTCCCAGAAACCCAGGAGGGACATCATTTCAGCCCACTTGGCAGAAGTGGAGGATGAAGTCTTGGACACAGAATTTATAGCTGGCAAGGACTTTATTCATCATCCATTCCATACCCTCAGTAATTTACAGATGAAGAGTCTGGCCCAGGACACCAATAATAATCACTACATGGTGGCAGTAACTACTATGTGCTTAGTAGTTTACAGTTCATAAAGCGATTTTGCCATCAACAAATATTTACTGAACTAGGATAGAGGCTAAGACCCGGGGACAAAGTGGTTAGGGAGAACCTGAGTGCTCCAAGTTTTTTGCTTTTCCACCACCGCTTGAGGGACTCTCTAGCCTCCTCCCTAACACTTAGCTCCTGTAAAGGAGGAAGTCCCTTTGGCAAGGGATATAACAGATCCTGTTTGGTTAATGACCATAGTCTACCCTCCAGGGCCCGTGAAGATGGAGGAGACCTTGAGCAAAGTGAAGAGCAGTGCCAGGCCTGGTGCAGCCGCTCACTATCACGTCTCTCTCCCAGGCTCTTCCAGCCTCACCTGGTGGACACAATAAGGACCACAGGCCTCACCTCCATCGGCATTCTCAAAACATTTGCCCTCCTGTGGGATGTCACATACACAGACCCAGACTTTCTTGGAGAAAGAATTCCATCTTTAGCTTTGAAGAAGCAAAAGCAACCAACTCAAAACCCCCACTTCCTCTAAAAGAAAACGTGGGCAAGCAGATGCAGAAGGGGAGCAGAGAAAGTCTGAGGGTTCCTGTTGGGGCCAGGGGAGGGGCGAGCCCTACAGGAAACTTGGACAGAGAGCGCTTTGATCACCCGCCAGCCTGGGAAGCCAAGCCAAAGTCCGGCGGAAAGGGCATGGGGCGCACGGCCGGCGGGGGGGCCGCTGTCCCTCGCCCTATCATCCTGTCCCTCGCCCTATCATCCTGTCCCTCGCCCTATCATCACTCACCTGCCCTGGGAGGGGTGGAAGCCAGACTTGCAGTCTGCGTCATGCACAAGGTGGGGCTGCTAGGCCCCTGGGCCCGGGCTTGGAAGTCGGTGCGGATGGCCAGCTCCGGGATAACCCGCCGGGACCCGCTCGCGAATAAGGTGGCCGTCGTAACGGCTTCCACCGACGGGTGAGTGCTCGGGCGGGAGTTTCTGAGGCGCTGGATGCCTGGAAACAGGCAGTGGCCTCTCGTCCTTTGCCTCTGGTGCCCCTGTCCTCAGACCTCACACGCCGCCAAAGTCTGGCACTGGAAAAAAGGAGCCACGTGGTCCACCTGAAGCTCCTTCGAATCCCCTGGCCCTGGGCCCTCCCTTGCCAGCCTTCCTGTCCCGGCTGCCTCTGGCACAACTGTGCCACCTCTGTGCAGCCCCATCGGTCCAGCCCCCCAGTGCTCTGGGCTGCCCCAGTCAACCAGCCCCACCTAGCGTCCGGGAAGACCAGAAACCGGAAATCCAAGGGAATCTGGATTTCAAAATCCTATCCCACGGCCTCCAGCATGCTGAAAATGTTCCGGACACTCTATTTGGGCACCGGAAAGTCTCCCGAAACCCCTCCCCCTTACCTAGATGGGACTCAAGAGCCATGTGTCAAGACTTTTGTTTAGGTCAGTACATCTGGGCCTACCTTGCCCAGCCTATTTCTCACCCACCACTCTTGTCTGTCCTGTTTTTCATTTCTACAGGACTTTGCTAGATGCCAGCTTTTCACAAAACTAAAATACAAATGTAGGTAAAATGCTAATGGCTGACAATTGCAAAATGTGTAACTCTTCCTCCCAAAGGAATATTTACATTTTTGACCAGAGACCATCCTTTCATATGCACCCCAAAAAATAACAGGATAGAATTGGCTGGGCATGGCGGCTCACGCCTGTAATCCCAGCACTTTGGGAGACCAAGGCAGGCGGATCACCTGAGGTTGGGAACAAGACCAGCCTGACCAACATGGAGAAAACCTGTGTCTCCTAAAAACACAAAATTAGCTGGGTGTGGTGGCACATGCCCATAATCCCAGCTACTCGGGAGGCTGAGGCAGGAGAATCGTTTGATCCCGGGAGACAGAAGTTGCAGTGAGCCAAGATTGCACCATTGCACTCAAGCCTGGGCAACAAGAGCTAAACTCCATCTCAAAAAAGAAAAAAAAAAAAAAAAAAAGGACAGAATTTTAAGAATGATGTAGACTAGTAAGGGAGAAACCTGGCAGGGCTGTTCTGAGTGAGAACCATAAATCATGGAAGTAGCTGCTGCTGCACACCTAGCTCATTTCTCACCTCTCAGTCCCAACAGGGAATGAAGCCTGTCACCCATGGTGGGAACTGTAGAAAGTGATGTCAGTTCTTGGGAACTGAGGCTGCGGTCCAAGATCACATGAAAAATAAGTAAATGAATGCCAAAAATGGCCGTACCAGTAACCCTGTTTTACACATAGTAGAGAAACGTGGAGGTCATATAGAGAAAGAGCCAGAATTCAAACCTGGGCAGTCTAACTTTACAGCCCATGCTATCAACCTCTTCAGGCATTGGCAGTCTTTGTCTCTTTCTGCTCACAGAATCGGCTTGGCCATCGCCCGGCGTCTGGCCCAGGATGGGGCCCACGTGGTCATCAGCAGCCGGAAGCAGGAGAAAGTGGATCAGGCGGTGGCCAAGCTGCAGGGGGAGGGGTTGAGCGTGACAGGCACCGTGTGCCATGTGGGAAAAGCCGAGGACCGGGAGCGGCTGGTGACCACGGTAAGCTGCAAAGAAATGGGCACAAAGCCAGGAGGTGGAAAAGGGAGCCAGCCTGAGCCTCCTTCCCTGCTTTCCTGGACAGCATTGATGAGATCCGATGCAGTGCTGTTAACTAAAACATAGTGAGTTCTGCATACTCACACCAGCCCACCAGCACATTTTTATTGTGTACCTTTCTATTATGTCTCTATACTAACATCTGAGAATCATCCCATCCCAGTCAGAGAATTTTTTTTTTTTTTTTTTTTTTTTGAGGCGGAGTTTCACTCATGTTACCCAGGCTAGAGTGCAATGGCGCGATCTCGGCTCACCGCAACCTCCGCCTCCTGGGTTCAGGCAATTCTCCTGCCTCAGCCTCCTGAGTAGCTGGGATTACAGGCACGCACCACCATGCCCAGCTAATGTTTTTTTTTATATTTTTAGTAGAGACGGGGTTTCACCATGTTGACCAGGATGGTCTCGATCTCTTGACCTCGTGATCCACCCGCCTCGGCCTCCCAAAGTGCTGGGATTACAGGCTTGAGCCACCGCGCCCGGCCCCAGTCAGAGAATTTTAAAACATTCTACTGCTTCAGCCCGGCATCACCCCTTGCATACCCCAGAGAAGCAGCTGGTACCGGTTCTCTAGTAATTTCCAATCTAATTGGACAGATGAGAAGGGTAAATACAATCACGAAATAGATGTTCCCACCCATGAGAGCTTATAAATAATCCCCTATTATTCAGCTTATAGAGTCAAGTCCCTGGGAACCTCAGGAGGCAGCCCACCATGTTTCAACCACCTACTATGTGCCATTTCCTGTGTTCAAAGTCTTACTCAGGTTATTTCTAGACCTGACAACAACCCAAGCAAGGCAAGGACTATTCTCTCAGTCTGCAGAGACTGGCTCAGATAGCTGGAGCAACTTCCCAAGGTCCCATAGCCAGTAAGGAAAGAGCTGTAATTCAACCCATTCCTCCCAAGCTCCCTTCTGTTTTTGGCTGCCTATGGACTACTAGGTACTGGATTTTAGTCTCAAAGAAAGTATATAAGTCAGTGTCACAGTTAGTAGTGGACACCAGCCTTCCAGCTGCACAAGAAAATATGAACCACCTGGCAAAGGAAGCTCCTCTTCCCTTGAGGATAAGGGCACACACTTTATTCCCCAGAGTGGAAGGGAGAATCTACCCAAAAATGGAAAGTACAGGATGTGCTAACAGATCAGAAGGTTGGCAGAAATAATTTGGAAATCTTCTTAGAAGAGTAGGATCTTAAGCAATAGTAGACAGTGGTACAGTAGACAGTATAAGATAATTCTAGCAAATGTTCAAATGTGCATTGGAAAGAGCCAAATGTGAGTACAAGAAAGTCACCTTGCCTGGCCTAGACTGCTGGACAGAGCCCAAGATTGGGGCCTTGATCCTGACGGTGGAAGGAGCCACTTGGGAGGCTGGGTCAATTAGTGACTAACCATATGACATGTAAGTAGCAATTTAATGTCAAAATCCTGCTGGAAAAACATCCTGTGGCCCCATCAGCTTCACTTACCAAGTCCTGCAGGCTTGGCCCAGAAGTGGTGCTTGAGCTAAATCTTGAGGAATGGATGGGAATGGACAGATGGAATAGCAATGAGGTTCCAGATAACTCTGCAGTACCAGCAGACAGCCAAAGAGGAACTGAAGGAAAGAGAGGAGCACCGTCAGTCCACAGTGGAGCACAGGCTTAGGAGTACTGGTAGAAAAGGGGCTGCATTGGAAAGATAGAGGCCATGAGCCTCCATGTCCCCTTCCCCTCCCGCCCCGAGATGGAGTTTCCCCTCTCAACCCAGGCTGGAGTGCAGTGGCACTATCTCGGCTCGCTGCAACCTCCACCTCCCAGGTTCAAGCAATTCTCATGCCTCAGCCTTCTGAGTAGCTGGGATTACAGGCACGTGCCACCATGCCCAGCTAATTTTTGTGTTTTTAGTAGAGAAGGGGTTTCTACTAAAAAGTAGCCAGGCTTGTCTCAAACTCCTGACCTCAGGGGATCCACCCACCTCAGCCTCCCAAAGTTTCAGGATTATGGGCATGAGCCACCATGCCGGGCCATAGCCTCTTAAAAGGGTATGTTAAGGATCTCAAAAGGATATGGCCTCTTAAAAGGATATGTTTAGACATTCTTGTAGGAAATAAGAAGCCTTGTGGGGTTTTGAGCAAGAGAAAGATGATTATTAAGAAAGGTAATCTGGCTCTTGTAGGAAGGATATACAGAGAAGACACTGAATCCAGGGCATCAGTGAGGAAGCTGTTGCTGTCATCCAGGTTTAGAGCAGTGGTGGTGGGTCTGGAACAGATGTGCCCAAGAGACATTTAGTGGGAACCAACCAAGATTTTCCAACCCCATGTCAAAAAATGGGAAATAGGAGAGGAGTCAAAACCCACTCTCAGGTAGTTTGTATGACCATTGTCAGAGAGGAGAATAATAGAATATTTGTCAGCAATTTGAAATGTGTTCTGCCAGGCCAGGCATGGTGGTTCCTGCCTATAATCCCAGCACTTTGGGAGGCTGAGGCGGGTGGATCACCTGAGGTTGGGAGTTCGAGACCAGCCTGACCAACATGGAGAAACCCCATCTCTACTAAAAATACAAAATTAGCCTGGCGCGGTGGTGCATGCCTATAATCCCAGCTACTTGGGATGCTGAGGCAGGAGAATCGCTTGAACCAGGGAGGCAGAGGTTGCAGTGAGCTGAGATGGCACCATTGCACTCTAGCCTGGGCAACAAGAGCAAAACTCTGTCTCAAAAAAATAACAGAAACAAAAACAAAAAAGAAATTTGTTCTGCCAATTGCCACATGTTACTCTGCCTTGAGAAAAACCACTGTCCTGAGGATGGTTATTACCCAGTGGCCTTATAATCTGCACCACAAAACTTCTCAGTGGTGTGGTAAGAAGAAACCAAATTAGCTGCTTATCTGCTTGATTATATCTTTTCTTAAAAATGTATAACTGTCAGAACACAGAGCAAACAGCTCCTAACCGCTTTAGTATAGTGATCACACAATTGAGAACAAGACTTAGAAGACTCCTCTGTTGCCCAGGCTGGAGTGCAGTAGCATGATCACAGCTCACTGTAACCTCAAACTCCTGAGCTCAAGCAATCCTCCTACCTCAGCCTCCCAAGTGGCTAAGACTATAGGCATGTACCACCATGCCAGTTCATCTTTTAAACTTTTTGTAGAGCTGGGGCTACATTGTCCAGGCTTGTTTTGAACTCCTGACCTCAAGCAATCCTCCCCACTGGGCCTACCAAACTGCTAGGATTGTAGGTGTGAGCCACCACAGCCAGCGTCATTCATCTTTTATGTTTTGCTGTCTGTTCAATCAAACCCATCTCCTCCCATCTCTGTGCTGACAGACCTGGAAGGAGAGGGGCGTGGGGTATACAGCAGAGTAGAAATGTCTCCAGGTGATTCTGGAGCCATCCACTGTCTTCTCCCATCCCAAACACACATGCACTGAGCACAGCGCACATCATTTTCCAACTTATTCTGCACCTCCCTAGTAACAAGTCCGTTGGTAAGACTTACACAGAGCTAAGGCAGGTGACTGGCCTTTGTGCCAGAATACCAAAATTTGAAGGGTGCAAGAAAGTATTAATACTGGTTTTAAAAGGTTATGTGACTTTAAATCCTGTTAGATTTACATGTTGACAGCCCAGGCATTCCTTCAACCTTGTAGAAACAACTGAGCTTAGCACCTAGTTAACAAGAATAATTAGTTAAAATGGGAAGCTAGCAGATGGTGTACATTGTTAATAACACCCCTCTGTGTGCCAAATCTGAGGCACAAAGTTGATCGAGGGCCCATTTAGTGCTACTTGCCCAAGGCATCAAAATTGCCAGCTCTGGGCAAATGGAAAGCCTGGTTTCAGGGTGGCTTTTTACTGAAAACCTTTGTTGGCAGATTCTGCTTGGCCATTGATTACTCTAGCACACACCTCACTACCTACTTATAACTTATTAAGGAGGAGAGATGTTGCCTTTCTTGGCTTTCTCAGTTTAAATCTTAGTTTCTGCCTTGAATCTTTCATGCCTCCAGGTCAAAATAGAGAGAGAGAGACAGAAAATGACATCATAACCAAATATGAAATTGCTTTAAATTCGGGCTAGTATCTTCTCCCATCATGGTTCTACTGGGCAGCCAGTTTCGTAATGACCCCAACTCACTTTCAGAGGGTTCTTATGAATTAGCTCTGTGCTACAAAGTGGAAGACTGACCTCAGTTCTTCCACCACTAACTAGCTTTATACTCTGAGCAAATCACTTCACCTCTCCCAAACACAGAATAAGCAGGCCTCCTGTTCTTAGCTAGCCCCAGTGTGTCATTACTGAACTATATGATCTTGAGAAAATTCCCTGAACCTGTTTTATCACTTCTACCTTGAGGACACTGGAATTGATGATCTCAAAGTCCCCACCAGTGGTAACTTTCTACAGCTCTATTTAAGCCCGTTTTTCCATTCGGGTAAGTGTGAACAGATTGACTTTGAGTTAATGGTAGCTTTTTCAAGGAGAACTGGACAGTAAGCACTTGGAGAAATGGGGGTAGAACTCAGTGTGAAAGGAAGGAGGGGTCTGGAAATAGATTTTGAGGTGAGACTTGAAATCATGAGAATGAAGGAGCTCCCCAAAGGGAAAGTGTAAAGAAAAGAGAAAAGGGTCAGAGGCAGCCTTAGAAGAATGGGAGGTGGGAAGAAAAGACGGCAGAAGAAGTAAGGCCAACTTCCTGGTGGCTCGAGCCTGTAACACTTTGGGAGGCCAAGGCAGGCAGATGGCTTAAGCTCAGAAGTTCAAGACCAGCCTGGGCAACATAGCAAGACCCTGTCTCTATGCACCTCTAGTCCCAACTACTTGGATGGCTGAAGCAGGAGGATGGCTTGAACCCAGCATGTCAGGGCTGCAGTCAGCTGAGATCATGCCACTGCAGTCCAGCCTGGGTGACAGAGCAAGACTCTGTCCAAAAAAAGAAAGAAAGAAATCAACCTTAAATGGTTAGCAGTAGATCTTAGGGTGGTTTTGAAGAAAAGATGTTTTAAGAAAGAGAAGTTATTTTGACGATAGTTCCTAAGAAGGAAGGTTTTGTTGTTGTTGTTGTTGTTTTTAATATAGAGATAAGGTATCTCGCTATGCTGCCCAGGCTTCTCTCAAACTCCTGAGCTCAAGTGAGCCTTCCACCTTGGCCTCCCAAAGTGTCATGATTACAGGTGTAAGCCACCTCGCATAGCCCAGAAGGAAGTTTTTATCAACATGGATAAATGCACCTCCTTTACTTACTGCAGCCCTGATCCTAACCTTACCCCTCTCTCTAGGCTGTGAAGCTTCATGGAGGTATCGATATCCTAGTCTCCAATGCTGCTGTCAACCCTGTCTTTAAAAAACTAATAGATGTCACTGAGGAGGAGTGGGACAAGGTAAGGGGATTAAAGCAGCAGGGGGTAGGCCTCAGAACACATTCAACACAAACTTCATCTGCTTTTAGAATGCATTTGTCAAGTGCAATGTCAATGTGAGGACTCTTTGCCACATGCCACACACCTGGCGTGCACCTGGTAAAGGGCGGGTGGGGGTGGCTTCCTCTGTCTCTGCCCTTCTCGTTCATTTCTGCTGCTCCTGGTTCTGTCTGCTTCCATCTGCTCTTTGCTAGCCGCCCGTCTGCTCCCCTCCCCAGCCTTCTTCCCCGGCATGCTCTTCTGCCTGGCTGATTTCCAACAGAGACATGGCAGCTAATATGCCAACAACTATGACACTTAAACTTACACACCCACCCAATCGCCGAAAAGGGAAGTTAGTTGGGAAATATTAAAAGCTGCTAGTTAAGTAAAATACTAATTCTGGTGAAATGACCAGTTGCCACTTTATAACATACAATCTTTTAAAAAATAAAAATAAAAACCTATATTATTTTCTTCCTAACTGCAATGTCAAGAAAATCTGAGATCCAGATGTCTAAATTCAAGTGGTAGAATATTGGGTTTTATGTGAAAGTATAATTACATTATATTCGTAATAGATTTCACAGACATTCTTTAATTACAAAGCTTTAATTAAAATATTTATCTTTGTTTACTAAGGCTAATATTCCCACATGATTTGGAAATGCTAATTTTTTATGATCTCCCATAGTTTTGCTTTTTACTCTGATGTTGTATTAGTCTGTTTTGCATTGCTATAAAGGAATACCTGAGCTGGGCAATTTATAAAGAAAAAATCTTTGTTTTGGCTTACGGTTCTGCAGATTGTACAAGAAGCATTGTGCCAGTATCTGCTTCTGATGAGGCCTCAGGAAGCTTACAATCATGGCAGAAGGCAAAAGGGAACAGGCATGTCACATGGCAAGAGAGGAAGCAAGAGTGAGATACCAGAAGATGCTAGCTCTTTTAAACAACTAGCTCTTGCATGAACTAATAGACTGAGAACTCACTCATTGCCATGGGGAGGGCACCAAGCCATTCACAAGGTATCCACCCCCCGTGGCCAAAACACCTCATGTCAGGCCCCACCTTGAACATTGGTGATCACATTTCAACATGAGATTCAGAGGGGACAAACATACCAACTGCATCAGATGTCATCAAGAGTTTCCCAACACTGAAGTTTCAGGATGTGAAAATACTATTATTTATTTACCAATGTTTCATACACATAAAGACCAGAATGCCAAAATGTTCTTCAGTGAGCTAGCTCCTGATTCTGATTCTGATAGTCTTTTTCCCTCTTCTTTCTTTTTTTTTTTTTTCCTTGCTGTATTACCCAAGCTGGAATGCAGTGGTGTGATCTCAGCTCACTGCAAGCTCAGCCTCCCAGGTTCAAGCAATTCCTGTGCCTCAGCCTCCCAAGTACCTGCTACTTCAGGCATGTGCCATCATGCCCAGCTAATTTTTTGGGTTTTTTTTTTGTTGTTGTTTGTTTGTTTTTGGTAGAGACAGGGTTTCACTATGTAGCCCAGGCTGGTCTCAAATTCCTGGCCAATCCACCCACTTCAGGATCCCAAAGTGTTGGGATTACAGGCATGAGCCACCGCACCCAGCCAGATTCTGATAGTCTTTAAAATAGAGGAACATCTTTCACGAACAGTCTGAATAGAGACAATATGAAAGTCAGTTTTAAACTAAGTATAGGCACAACTTGGAGATATTGTGGGTTTGGTTCGAGGCCACCACACAATAAAGTGAATATTGTAATAAAATGAGCCACATTAATTTTTTGGTTTCCCAGTGCATATAAAAGTTATGTTTACACTAAAATGGTCATCTAATGTAGTCTATTAAATGAACAATAGTATTATTATGTCTTAAAATATATATACATGTCTTAATTTTAAAAGACTTTATTGCTAAAAAATGCTAACAATCATCTGAGCCCTTAGAAGTTATAATCTTTTTGCTGGTGGAGGCAAGTCAGCTTGCCTCAGTATTGATAGTGGCTGACTTAGGGTGGTGTTGCTGAAGGCTGGGGTGGCTGTGGCAATTTCTTTAAATAAGACGGCAGTGAAGTTTGCCACATCAGTTGACTCTTCCTTTCACAAAAGATTTCTCTGTAGCATGCGATGCTGTTTGATAACATTTACCCACAGCAGAACTTCCTTCAAAATTGGAGTCAATTCTATCAAACTCTGCCACTGCTTAATCAACTAAGTTCATGTAATATTCTAAATCTCATGTTGTAATTTCAACAATGTTCATAGCATCTTCATCAGAAATAGATTCCATGCCAAGAAACCACTTTCTTTGCTTATCCATAAGAAGCAACTCCTCAGCTGTTTACATTTTATCATGAGATTGCAGCAATTCAGTCACATCTTCAGGCTCCACTCTAGTTCTCTTGCTATTTCCACCACATCTGCAGTTCCTTCCTCTGATGAGGTCTTGAACCCCTCCAAGTCATCCATGAGGGTTGGAATCAACTTCTTCCAGACTCCTGTTAATGTAGATATTTTGTCCTCCTCCTATGAATCACAAATATTCTTTTTTTTTTTCTTTTTCTTAAATGGAGTCTCACTCTGTTGCCCAGGCTGGAGTGCAGTTGCACAATCTCAGCTCACTGCAACCTCCGCCTCCTGGGTTCAAATGATTTTCCTGCCTCAGCCTCATAAGTAGCTGGTATTATAGACATGTGCCTTCACACCCAGCAAATTTTTGTATTTTTAGTAGAGACTAAGTTTCACCATGTTGGTCAGGCTGGTATTGAGCTCCTGACCTCGTGATCTGCCTGCCTCGGCCTCCCAAAGTGCTGGGATTACAGGCGTGAGCCATCGCGCCCAGCCCACAAATATTCTTAGTGGCATCTAGAATGGTTAATCCTTTTCAGAAGGTTTTCAGTTGACTTTGCCCAGATCCATCAGAGGAATCACTATGGCAGCTATAGCCTTACAAAATGTATTTCTTAAATAATAAGACTTGTTTGCAAATCAGAATTACCCCCTGATCCATGGGCTGCAGAATGGATGTTGTATTAGCAGGCATGAAGACAACATTAATCTCCTTGTACATCTCCATCAGAGCTTTTGAGTGACCAGGTGCATTGTCAATGAGAAGTAATATTTTGAAAGGAATCTTTTTTCTGAGCAGTAGCTATCAACGGTGAGCTTAAGATATTCAGTAAACCATGCTATAAACAGATGTACTGTTATTCAGGCTTTGTTGTTCCATTTATAGAGCACAGACAGAGTAGATTTAGCATAATTCTTGAGAGCCCTAGAATTTTCAGAATGGTAAATGAGCATTGGCTTCATCTTAAAGTCACTGGCTGCATTAGCCCCTAACAAGAGAATAAGCCTGTCCTTTGAAGTTTTGAAGGCAGGCATTGACTTCTCTCTAGCTATGAAAGCCCTACATGGCATCTTCTTCCACTAGAAGGCTGTTTCATCTACATTGAAAGTCTGTTGTTTGGTATAGCCACCTTCATCAATGATCTTAGCTAGATCTCTGGATAACTTACTGTAGTTTCTACGTCAGCACTTGCTGCTTCACCTTGCACTTTTATGTTGTAGAAATGGCTTCTTTTCTTAAACCTCATGAACCAACCTCTGCTAGCTTTCAACTTTTCCTCTGCAGCTTCCTCACCTCCCTTGGCCTTCACAGAATTAAAAAGTTACGGCCTTTTTCTAATTAGGCTTTGGCTTAAGGGAATGTTGTGGCTAGTTTGATCTTCTATCCAGAACTCTAGAACTTTCTTCATATCAACAATAAAGCTATTTTGCTTTCTTGTTATTTATGGGTTCACAGAAGCGGCACTTTTAATTTCCTTCAATAATTTTTCCTTTGCATTCACAACTTGGCTAACTGGTGCACAAGGCCTAGCTTTCAGCCTGCCTCTGCTTTCAACATGCCTTCATCATTAAGCTTAATTATTTCTAGCTTTTAAATTAAGGTGAAAGATGTGTGACTCTTCCTTTCACTTGAACACTTAGAGGCCATTGTAGGGGTTATTAATTGCTCCAATTTCAACATCAACGTGTCTCAGGTAATATGGAGGCCCACAGAGAAGGAGAGAGATGGGAGAAGGGCGGAGCAGTCAGAACACACACATTCATTGATTAAGATCACCTTATTTTATGGGTGTGTTTTATGGTACCCCCAAATAATTATAATTAAACCATGAAAGATCACACATCACCGTAACAGATATAATAATAATGAAAAAGTCTGAAATATTACAAGAATTACCAAAATATGACCCAGAGACAAAGTGAGCACATGCTGTTGGGAAAATGGCTGCAATTAACGCAGGGTTGCCATGAACCTTCAATTTGTAAAAATCACAATATCTGCAAAGCATAATAAAATGAGGTGTGCCTGTAACTTTTCTTTTAGTTTGTATATTTTTAAAAATATCACAGTACATCAAATCCAAACACAATGGTTGATCCTTGATGGAACTCTGGACTTTAAAACACACACACACATATTTGAGAGACAATTGGGGCCAATATAAAATCATCATCAATGTCAAACTTCTTGGGCGTGATAATGGATTATGGTTGTGTAAAAGAACATCCTTACTCTTTGGAAATGTATGCTAAGTATTTAGAAGAGAGCATTGTAATATCTGCAACTGAGTTTATTTATTTTATTTATTTACTTTTTTTTTTAGATGGAGTCTCCTCTATTGCCCAGGCTGGAGAGCAGTGGTGCAGTCTTGGCTCACTGCAATCTCCACCTCCTGGGTTCAAGCTATTCTGTCTCATTTTCCTGAGTAGCTGGGACTACAGGCACATGCCACCATGCCCTGCTAATTTTTGTATTTTTAGTAGAGACAAGGTTTCACCATGTTGCCCAGGCTGTTCTCAAACTCCTGACCTCAAAGTAATCCATCCACCTCTGCTTCCCAAAGTGATGGGATTACAGGCATCAACCACTATGCCCAGCCCTGAGTTTCTTTTTTTAATTTACTTTTTTATTTGCTTTTTTATTTTTGTTCTTAGTAATTTTTCATTTTATTACATAAAATCTTTCAGAAAATTTGCAACTGAGTTTCAATGGTTCATTTAAAAAACAGTACAGATCTATAGTGAGGACAAATGGGACAAAATGTGAACAACTGGTGAATCTAAGTGAAGGATATGTTGTATTTCTATTTCCAATTTTTCTGAAAGATTAAAATATTTTAATATAAGCAGTTGTGTAGAACAATGTAAACAGGTGTCATACATTTGTTTTAGATTATGATGTGGGGATTCTGATTATAGCCTGTCCCCCCGCTTCCCCAGAAGGTACCTCCTCATGATCCTACTTTCTAATCACATCTAGCCAGACAGTCTACCCTACAGGAGCAAGAGCATCTCACTCCCTACGTTCAGAAGCCAGAGAAGTGCTAGAACAACCCCAGGTATCCAAGGTCAGACCACATTTTCCCTGAGAAGCATGGCTCACTCTAGGGCAGGTCCAGGAGGATGACAATTCCAGGCTCTATCTACTTTGAAGAAACACAGAAAACACAGCTGAAATCCAAAGGAGCCCTGAGGATTTAGGCCCTTTCTGGGCCACATCGTACTTGGCCGGTTATGAAACAAGATGAACCAGGCTCCATTTTTTTCTCACCTGAACCTAATGTATCATTATCTAGCTGAGCAGCTGGTGAGAGCTACTTCTCCCTGAACCTCGGTGTCTTCATGTGTAAGATGCAGATGTATCATCTTGAGATCTTTGTCATCTCTGACAAACATCCTAGGAACCCACTCTAACTCCTCATTGCCATGCCTCCTCTAACGCTCTTCACTCATACTGTTTCCTCTTCTTCTCTTGGCTTCAGGTTCTGCACATTAATGTGAAGGCCACAGCCATGATGATAAATGCAGTGGTGCCAGAAATGGAGAAACGAGGGTACAGAGAGTGAGAGAGAGCCTGAGTGAGATGGGACCCCTTACGGGCTGAGGGCAGTGGTCTACACTGGGAAAAGGGTCAGCTCTCTTCTTTTTCCAGAGGCGGCTCAGTGGTGATCGTGTCCTCCATAGCAGCCTTTCATCCACCTCCTGTAAGAATCCTTTTGTCTGCCCCTTATATGCCATCCTAAGCTCCACATCTTTCCACCCCTCCTGTTACCCAAAGAAGTTTGTGTCCCCTTTTAGAATCACACCACCAAGTCCCTGCCCACCAAATAGTTGCCTTGCCTCCACAAACCCCAACCTAGGGGAGGTTTAGCCACACGACAGTTTCCTAACTGTGCCCCTTCCTTACAGGAGATCCCTGCTGTACACTGCCCTCTATGTCTGATCATTAGAACCAGAATGACCTGGAAACTATGAGTCTAACCCATTCTCTTCTTTCTCCAGGGCCTCGGCTCTTACTGCGTTAGTAAAACAGCCTTACTGGGCCTTACCAAGTGTCTGGCCATAGAGCTGGACCCAAAGAACATTCGGGTGAACTGCCTAGCACCTGGACTTATCAGGACTAGCTTCAGCAAGACGGTGAGGAAGTGGAGCTCTGCAGCCCACTGGAACTCTTGAAGGGCATCCATCTTCTTGGACAGGGAAGCCCAGTTCCTGAGTTCTAAGCTCTCAACCACTCGATTCTCCTTCCTGAGACTTTTCCATATTCCCTCTCTATACCAGCTGCCCTATCCAAGCCAGACTCCTACCACACCTTTCCTGAGGAGTAGAATGGAGACTGAGGTATTCAGACTCTGTTCACACTGTTTCCTCTCTCCTTAAGTGGATGAGAATTGGAGAGATGCAGCAAAATGCATCACAAGAACCTGAAACAAATGAAACAGATGAGGGCAGTGGGGAGAGCTGGGAGCTAGAAAAAAATAGGAAGTGAAGGAGGGAAGTCTCTCTCTCGATCTTTCCTCTCAGTTGCTATGAGAACAGGCAGTTTCTTCCCTTTCTGTTCCTCACTTTCCTCTTGTTGAACATAAAAGAGATTTCCCTTCTTCCTGCAGCTCTGGGGAGACAAGGAACAAGAGAAAAGGACAAAAGAAACCCTGAAGATAAGAAGGTAAGACTGTCATGGGGGCAAAGGCCCCAAGAGGCATGAAGATGGAAAGTTCTGGTCCCTAGCAGCCCATAGCCCGCTGTCTCAATCCCACACATAACACAGACATGCTCTCCTCTGCCTCACAGACCACAAATTCATAAACACTGTCACTGCAGTGGCCTAAGCAAGAAATCAGCTTCCCTTTCAAAAGGTAAACACAGAGACATTGGGGTTTCAGCAGTGCAGAGCTCTGGGAGAAGCCCTGAGTCCTCTCTCCACCTTAGGGATTGCCTCCACCTCTGGGCATCCATGGAGACCAGGTACCAAAACCAAAACCATGCTTTTTTAGTTCCCTCGAATAATGAGATATGTTTACAAAACTCAGGTTGATGATCTACAATCCAAATGAAAGGAATGAAGAGCTTCACTAAGCCCCAAACTCCCTTACCTAAGGAATTACTCTCCTCCGCAATGAGCTGGGTGAACTGTTCAGCCACCTTGGTCAGGCTCCCTTTCCTCTAAGTTGCCTGCCTCTCTCTACCTTCTGGCTTCTGGGCACTATCTAGTTTCTCCATCTTGTCCCTCAAGGACAAATGCCAGCAATGCCTAACTCTTTACTGATCCAGACATCCCAAATCTTCCCAAAGCCATTCCGATACATGAGCTGCAGGCCTAGTTCATAACTCATTAAAATGTTAGGGGATTGTCATCCTAGAGCTCCTATATCAAGCCCATGTAGCGCAATCCTGGATGCACATTAGAATCACCTGGGGAGCTTTTTAAACTGCAAATTTAAACTCACCCACTCCCAGAGATTCTTAATTGGCCCAAGGTAGGACTTCACCATCTGGGCTTTTGTTTTTGTCTTTTCTTTTTTCTTTTTTGGTTTAAGCCTCTCAAATGACTGCAAGCTACAGCTAGAGTGGAGAACCACTAATTCAGCCCTTCTACGTTTGAGTTACTCACTCTGCCCACCTCTAGAGCATTCTATGGCAGGCAGATTAAAGTGTCCCCTAACTATGCAGTCACTGATAAAATTAAAATTGGCATATTCTCACCAAATGAACCTGACTTTAAGGAACAAGTACAGATTCCAAAAAAAGTTGTCTGAAGTTGAACCTGTACAAATGGAATCATTTTAAACACACCATTTACTGTCACACAGACTCCCTAATACTTTGGTGTGTGCACATGTTAAACAATTTTTTGAAGTATGAAATAATTGCTCACCATTTTATCTATATAACTTTGGATTTTGGTGTCCTAAGCTCTCTAAAAAAAAAAATGTGTTTCTATAGTATTTGAATATTATGAGTAATGATGGGTTTTACAGACTACAGTATGCTTATACTAAATTATAACAGCATATCCTGTGGTAACCCTATTTGATAAACCGAAAGCTTGTACAATAATCCTGAAAAGTCATCTAATAATTCTTGATTAAGCAAATTTCATTCCCCATGGGCCAGATGAGGGGGCCAAAACTGTTTGATTTTTACTCCCTTCCTTGTTTCCCCTGTTCCCCAGGATGGGTGAGCCAGAGGAGTGTGCAGGCATCGTGTCTTTCCTATGCTCTGAAGATGCCAGCTACATCACTGGGGAGACAGTGGTGGTGGGTGGAGGAAGCCCGTCGCGCCTCTGAGAACCCGGAGACAGCCCCCGGGGCAGAGCTGGGCTCTAGCTTCAGGTGCTGTTCCTGCATTCATCACTGGCCTTTCCCACCTCTGCCCACCTTACTGTTCACCTCACAAAATCAGTTCTGCCTGTGACAAGATCCAGCCTTCCCTGTCATCAAGGTGGCATCTTACTCGGGATTCCTGCTGTTGCTGTGGCCTTGGGTAAAGGTCTCCCCTGAGAACACAGGACAGGCCTGCTGAGAAGGCTGAGTCTACCTTGGCAAAGACCAACAGCTATTTTTTGCCCAGGCCACTGGGGAATTTGAGGGGAGATGCCAGAGAGGGAACATAGAGTGGAAGGAGCAGAGTTAGAAATTAACAACTTGCAAATGAGGCTCAAATAAAATGCAGATGATTATACTGGTTTAAATTGATGTGTTCATTTCTCAGTGTGGGGTGCTTAGCTGAGCAGAGAGCAGATGTCTAGCCAGGCTGGATCTCTGGAACCCCTAGCCCTCCTCCCTGTCTACAGGACCTGAGCGTGATGTTCAGGGGTGGAGGTGTCTTCAGAGCTGCCAGCTGGAAGGAAGGTGGCACGGGAACTCCCAGGATGTCACGGGGATCCGCGAGGCAGGCCAAGCCGGGTGAGGGTGGGGAAGGATGAACTCTCTAACACCTCCCAGATCTGGCCAGGTCCTTTCCCGGCATCGCCCTAGCTCTCGAGTTCCCTCCCGAGTCAGCAAGGACAAGCTGGACCGGTCCTGAGCTGGTGGGGAACAGGGAAAGGCCCTGCAAGATACCTAGGCCCACAAACAAAAGAAATGGGTTCTGCCCACGGGGCCCGAAGATTGAGTAGACGGAAAGCGGGGACGCTGCCCCCCGCCCCAAAGGCCGGGACACCGGGCGACGCGCACCGGGCCTCTCACGCTGGAGCCGGTGTGCGGGGTCGGCGCGAGCGCGCGCGGGGTCTCACGCGGCTTGGCAGCGCGGTGCGCATGCTCAGTCCGGTAGCTCTCCGGGCGGGGCGGGGGAGCCAGCGCTCCGAGGCTGGGGGAGGAGCGCTCACGCAGCCGCCCCTGACTGGAGCGGTCTCGGCCGCTGCTGCAGCGCTCAGCTCCCGGGCCCTGCCGAAGCCGGGTCTAGCATGTGCCGCGGCTCCCCCGCGGCGGCGGCGGCGGCTCCTCTGCAGCAGCCTCAGCAGCAGCGGCCGCCATGGCCAAGGGCAGCGTGGAGCTCACCCGCGAGTTGCAAGGTACGAGGCTGCCTCGGTCTCTGGGATGCCCCATCCGGGAGCATCCCAGACCCAGCGCGTTCCTCCCCGCGGTGCACCCCAGCCTGGTGCCTCACCCCCTACCCACCCACCCCACCCCATGCACCCCGGCTCCAAGGCAGCCCCTGAATCCCAGTCTGGGCATCTCTGTCCCTGTAGTATCCTCCGCTACCCGCCTTGCCTCACCCGGTCAGGACCTTCCTGTCCCAGAGCCACTCGTCCCACCCTTCAGTGACAGGTGCAGTTCCCTGGCGCTCCCTGGGGCTGACTCTTGGCGTTCCTGACCCACCCTCAGAGAAGCGTCCAATCTCCCCTCTAGAGAGTCCCCGCTTCTCCCGCCGGGCGGGGCCAGGCCCTCCCCTCCCGGCGATGGGAGCTGCCCCTGGTCCTGACCACTGCGTGGCTTAACACCCTCCTCCTCCTGGCCCCGCCCCGGAACTGGCCCTGAAGGGTCCCTTAGGCTCTGGGCAGCGCCCAGGCCAGTGGGGCAAAGAAGAGGGTCAGGGAAGAGGCCCTGGATCGGAGCTAAAACCAAGAGCAGGAGAGTCTCTGCAGCTCGCCTCCCACAGCCCCTGTCCCAGTCTACCCCCTTCTCACTACCCACTACCCACACGTCAAGGCCTCTCCCGTTTGCATGGCTCTCAGAACCACCCAGCATTGCCACAACCCTGACCCCCAGAGACAGGAACACAGGCTAGACCACGCAGAGCTCAGGATGCTCATGGATGCTCAGAGGCATGCTGCACTGTGGTGATCTCCCACACCTGCACACACACACAGCACAATCATGAGATGTGTGTAACACACCTTCACAGAGATGGCACCCCAGCACATGTGTGCATACATACACACACACTCACACACACACACACTATATCTGGGTGGCTCAGCCAGCAGATGGGTATGGGGCTCATTTAAACATTAATTCCTCTCCCTGCCCAACACACACAGAGGAACTGTCTGGCTCTGTGCCCCTTCCACATCATACTCATTCACATTTACCTGTCCCCACCAATGCCACACTCAGGCTCCCTGACATCTCCAGGAGGCATGCACACTCATAGTAAAGACAGACATTCACACCCAGACCACCTAGAATATAGTCAAAGGGACACCCCACACCCCCACACACTGACTCACTGTGTATGTGTCAATGGCTGTTGTAGTGCATGGGTTGGAAAAATTCTTCACACCCTCAGAAGTGTAAGACACACCCTCCCACAGACAGTCAGCAACTGTCCCCTGACTCAGGGACATCAGGAGCCGGAGTTTTCTCCACACCCTACTCCCTCTCTGATAGGAAGAGAAAAGTCGAAAAAGAGAGAGTATGAAAAGTCACCCAAGAAGGAAAGGCCTCTGTCCCTGTCCTCCTTTCTCTGTCTCTCTGTTTCTCTTCCCATTTGACCCTGACTCTGCCTCTATCTGGAGATCCCTGGGAGGTGGAGGTGGCCAGGGTAAGGGAAAGCTCTGAGCAGGCCCCCACCCACCCTCAGACAGCATCCGGAGGTGCCTGAGCCAAGGGGCTGTGCTCCAACAACATCGTGTGAAGTTGGAAACAAAGCCCAAGAAGTTTGAGGACCGAGTGCTGGTGAGGGCACTGGGCATGTGGGGAGTGAGGAGGTGGCTGGTGAGGGCAGCTGGCCAGTAGAGGGCAGGGAGCTGGTAGGGCAGAGGAGACAGAAGTGAGTGGTCACTGAAGAGATGAAACCTGGGAAGAGGAGGCAGGACTGGACTGGGTTGATGTCCAGAAGACGTCTAGGACACGGCATCAGGTTGGGGGGTACTCCATGAGCAGAGATGAAGGGCTTAAGGAGGGCAGAAGCACCAGGGCCCAGCAGCCACCATGAGCTACTGATATTCTTTTCCTTTCTCTGCAGGCCCTGACCTCCTGGCGCCTCCACCTCTTCCCCCTCAAAGTCCCAGCCAAGGTAAGTTGGGCTGAGGAGGAGGAGAGCACCTGTCATGCTCCCTACCTCCCAAGCCTGGCAACCCAGGTACTTACCAGGAGCTGAGCATCTCCATCCCTCCTAGGTGGAGAGCTCCTTCAATGTCCTGGAGATCCGTGCCTTCAACACGCTCAGTCAGAACCAGGTGAGTACCAGGGCTCTGGGCCTCACTACTGAGCCAGCTGAAGGAGGGAGCAGAGAGGAGGGAGTCTGAGACTCTGAAACTTCCTCTCCTCCAGATCCTGGTGGAGACAGAGCGTGGCATGGTGAGCATGCGGCTGCCATCAGCTGAAAGTGTGGACCAGGTGACGCGCCATGTGAGCTCTGCCCTGTCCAAGGTCTGCCCTGGCCCTGGGTGAGTGGCAAATGAGGGATCTCTTAAGGGGATTAGATGAGAGGGAGACTTCTCCTTCCCTTCCTCCTTCCCCTGGACCAGGGCCGAGAAGAAGGAGAGCTCTCGTGTCCCCACTCCTGCTTTTTCCTGGGATGCAGGAGCTATAATGTGTGAAGAATTAAGAGCCTCTTTCCAGCCCTCTCTGGGATGACTTCTTTCTTTTCCAGGTGTTTAATCCGGCGTGGAAACGCAGACACCCCAGAGGGTCCCCGAGACACGTCCCCCAACTCTGAGACTTCAACATCTACCACCCACAGTGTCTGTGGTGAGCAGGGGCAGATGTGAGGAAAGTAGGCCCTAAACCATCTTGCCCCATGTCCAAAGCCCTTTGTGCATGGGGTGTTGCCTGGGCAGGCAGGGAGGGGCTTTGCCTGCCCTGAGGACTCCATAGCTCCCAGACCTCAGGAAGTTCATGGCATAACAAGAACAAAGAGCACTGGCACATAAAGTGACCTTGAATGTTCTTGAACCCCAAGCCTATTCCCCATCTCCTTACCCTCATGGAGCCAGCCCATCTCCTGCCCCACAGGTGGCTTCTCTGAGACCTATGCTGCTCTGTGTGACTACAATGGGCTACACTGCCGTGAGGAGGTTCAATGGGTACGTTGGGCAGGGGCCCCGTAGGGGACAGGTGGGGACTGGAGGGAGGGGGCCAAGGAGGAAGTGGGGAGCAGGTGTGAGCCAGTTCCACCTCTCCAAGGATGTGGACACCATCTACCATGCTGAAGATAACCGGGAGTTCAATCTTTTGGATTTCAGCCACTTGGAGAGCCGGTAAGCAGATGGGGCAGAGACTCTACCCTCAAATTCCTAGCTTCAGCCCAATCCCGGCCTTTCCCAGGAGCATCCTTCTGGTCCCACAGCCCCAGCTCTATTTCCCCAACTCCATCCCATCCCCATCAACCCATCTAGGTCTTCCCCAGCCCAACCACCCCATCCTTGGTCTCTTCTTTTCTGACCCAGCCACCTGTTCACCACTTTTCTGCCCCCTTCCATATCCCCACAGAGACTTGGCCCTAATGGTGGCAGCCCTGGCCTACAACCAGTGGTTCACCAAACTCTACTGCAAGGACTTGCGGCTGGTAGGAACTAGGAGGGGCTGGTGAGGTGGGAGGAGTAGTGTCCCCTTTGGCCCCTGATCGCAAGATCCCCTCTGTTCTCAGGGCTCTGAAGTGCTAGAACAGGTGCTACATACCCTGAGCAAGTCGGGGAGCCTCGAAGAGCTGGTGCTGGACAACGCCGGGCTTAAGACGTGAGGCCAGCCTCCTCTTTGGGCAGTAGTGCACCCTTGATATAGTTTTAGGGTCCCAGAGCCTCAGAGTATGATATAGGCCTCTGGACTACCTTATCCAGTGCCTCTCTTTACAGAAGAGGAGACTGAGGCCAAAAGAAGGCACAAAGCAAGTCGAAGGTCAAGCTAGGACTCAGACCCAGGCCTCTGACCCCCAGCTCCATGGCCTTTCCCCAGGGTGTTCCATGCCCCATCCTCTTTTTCTGTTAACTACCAGGCAGGGTGGGCTGCTCCAGTCTTGAGGACCCAAAGCTGACTTTTGTCTCAGCACAACTTCCTAAGGTGTGGAATGCCCCCAGGCACTCCGGAGTGGTGACAAGCTCCCTGGCAGGCCCTGAGCTGTTCCCCTGTTGTGGGGGCCTCTGACCATTGCAGCCCCCGCCAGGCAGGCAGGTAGAGGAGGAGGGGAAGCCCAAGGGCTGGGACATGGGGCTCAGCTCAGGACAAATCCTTCCTCCCCTTCCCTGAAGGGACTTTGTCCAGAAGCTGGCCGGGGTGTTTGGGGAGAACGGGAGCTGTGTGCTGCATGC